CTCGTTTGTAACTAGTGTCTATAAGAAAAGTTACGATCTATTCTTTTGACAATTTCCTTGATTTTCAAGTGTATTACCATGCAAGCATTCCATGTAAGGACATCTACGACTTGAATCATGACTATGTTAAAATAACATTTTCATCTATGGATAACTTTTCTACATGTAAAGTTTGCGATGATTTCAATCAGCAATAACTTTCCCACATTTATTCCACTAGTCTTAGTTTCTAATTCAAGGATTTGTTCAAGCATGTGCCATTTAAAGAAAATTGGGTGTTTCATAACAGATAACTTGGATCGGACATATCCGAGACTCATTTATGATTATCTGATCAGCTACAGAGGCACAATTTACGGGACGGTGGGTGAAAGTATTATGCGATTTTGATTTTCACAAGAACCTGGGATTTTGACTTGAATTTGCTTATCAATAATCAATTGAATGTTATAAGACTTATTTATACAACCTAATTAATCAATTAATCAACTAATTATTTATTAATTTGATTTTTATCATTAGGGGTGAAAACATCTATAGTGAATTAGTCGATTATTTCGCAAAAGAATCAATTAGATTGATACGTAATGAACTTAATAACATAATATCGAATTTAAATCGATTAAAACGAAAATAAATCGATTAATTTTGATACCTAAGTGTTTTTAGTTGATATACAGTTATTATAATCGATTAAAACATTTAAACCAAAATCCTGAGATCAGTTCAATCGATTATTTCGACATTTTAATCGATTAAAAGGGTACGGACTGATGTTCTGTTATCTCAGTAAGTTATTTTAATCGATTAATATTGTTATATATCAATTAAAACAATTTGTTTAAATACTCAGAACCTGATTTCGCAGCTCTGATCTTCAAGGGATTCCCAGACTTGTTCCTGCAAAACAAATTAAGAATTGTTCTGGTACCCTTTATAATTACTGGGTCCTGATCAGGTTATTTGGAAAGAATTAATCTTTGGAACCCATTTCATTCTACCTTTAGGAATGACATACTTTTTGATTCTGCAATTTTTAACAGAGTGCCCTTTTTTCATACAGTAAGAGCATTTAATTACAGAGTATGAATTCCTATTTGTTTTTGTTTTACTGGATCTAGATTTAAATCCTATTCCAGATTTGTCAAAAATTAATTTTTGAGACCCAAGTAATATATCAAGATTGGCTTGCCCTTGTGTAAATCTTGAAATAGTTTGAGATAGAAAGTCAATTTTCTTTTGCAATTCAGAACAGTTATTGCATGGTTTATTGCATTCACAATCAGAATTAGCATGAATCAGTTTCAAGAAGTCACGGTCAGTTTCATTTTCAAGAATTTGTTTTTCCAGAGAATCAACTTTATTTACTAGCCAGTTATTTAGCCTTTTCATCCTACTATTTTCTTTTTGAAGTTTCTTAGCCTCTTCATGCATTTCATTAAATGATTCTTGTAATGCATCATAATTAACTAAATTTGAAGAGGAGCTAGAACTTACATGATCAGAATTTTCTAGGCATTCTATCTTGACATGGCCACTGGTATTTGGTGATTCTGAGTTGACCATTAAGCATATCTCTGGTGCTTCTTCATAGGTCTTTTCAAGGATCTTCCACATTTGTGCAGCAGTTTGACAATGTGCAATCCTAAAAAAATCATTTCTATTAAGAGCGGAAGAGATGATATTTTTGGCAATACAATCATCTTGAATTCGTTAGCAATATCAGTTTCTTGTTCAATAACATTCCAAGCATTTATACTAACAGATTCAATGAAGATTTTCATCCTTAGTTTCCAGAATAGATAATCTGTTCCACACAACAGTGGAGGTCTATCAATATACGCTCCCTCAGAAAATGCCATGGATCGAATTAACTTGAGTAACTTTCAAGCACCTCGCTCTGATGCCAATTGTTAGAAAAGTAATTTTAAATCAAGAGGGGGGTGAATTGATTTTTGAAAGTTTTTCGCAATACACAGATTATCTAATTCGAAAATTAAGTTTACTAATCAATTCACGAATCACAAAGCAATTAAACAATACAAGCGCAGCAACTGAATTTAAAGAGAGAAAGGTTAGGAAAGATTTCACCGGTAATTTTATACCTGGTTCACCCAATACCAGGGCTACGTCCAGTCTCCAGCCAAATTCCAGCTGGGTTCCACTAGAATAGATGTTTTACAGACTCAACAATCTTACACCTACTCTAACACCGTAACCAATTTCCAGCTCCCGATTTTAACCTTTCCACCAAGAACCAAATTCCAGTCTTGGAAACCTCTCGCAACCAAATTCCAGTTGCAGAGAAACCAAGTGCCCAAATTCCAGGCACCAAACAAGACAAGAACCAAATTCCAGCTTCCGCACTTAACCTCTCCACCAAGAACCAAATTCCAGTTCTTGGAAACTTCTACAACCACCTTCCAACTGCAGAAAACTTGTACCCAAATTCCAGGTACAACACAATACAAAGTAATGAAAAAGAATTTACAAAGAAGAGACTTAGAAAGCTCAAACCGGATTACTCTAATCCACAGTAAGTTTCTTCTTCACAGAATGCGATATGCCTCAAGAAAGATTTCAAAAAGAACTTCACAAAACAGTTGTAATTCTTTCTTGGAAAAAGATGCTTAACAGCTTGCTTGAATTGATTGCTTAGTTTGTATGAAAACCGATATATTCAATCACATTTTAACAGTTCAAGCCAAACCGATTTTATAGAGAATTTTCAAATCTAGCTGCATTAATTAATCTGTTGAAAGTTTGTTTTAATCTGTTGAAATAGCCGTTATAATCTGTTAAAAGTCCTTTCAACCCATTAATGCGTTCTTGTTTCTTTAACAGAATGGTTTTAGTTGATACAACCATGTTTATATCAGCTTAAAACATTTTACAAACATTTTCAAAGAGTAATTCAATCGATTGATTCGCGTATTAATCGATTGATTTGCTTAAAAACCTTCTTATAAAACTTTCCAAGTTATTTTAGCTCGATATAAAGTCGTTTTAATCGATTAAAAACCTGCACGTAATTTTTCTAAGTTGTTTTAATCGGTTGAAATACGTTTTAATCGATTGAAACTCAGTACAAAGATTTTCCAAGTTATTTTAATCGATTGAAATGCGTTTTAATCGATTGAAATAAGTCTGATCGGTCATAATTCAATTCTGATCGATCATAACCAACTCTGATCGGTCATAATTTCATTCTGATCGATCATCCTGACTTCCAAAGTGGTTTTAATCGATTAAAACGTGTTTTAATCGATTAAAATAAATCTGATCGCTCATTTTTAAAGTCTGATCGATTATATTTCATTCTGACCTGTCATATTCGAATTCTAATCGGTCATAAAGGGTTTTAATCGATTAAAAGAAGTTTGTATCGATTAAAATATTGTAAAAACACTTCTTTACGCATTCTAAGTGATTTTAATTGTTTCTTTTAAAACTATATCAGTTAAAAACATTGTTAAGAAAGTTCTTTGTCAAAATGCTTTTGTTTGATTTGTTTAAAACTATTTTTGAGGCATTTTGCAAATTGAGTGAAGGAGCTTCATGCAGTGGAAAAAGGTAAAGTGGTTTTACCTAAGCTTTCTGTTAAGACACACTAAGTCTTCAGCTCCATTCTTCTGAGTGACTTGTTTGACTGTTGCAGAAATGACCTTTGACTTTATCTTTGACTTCATCAAATCACTGAGATCTTTGCTAGTATCACTTTCAAGTGGATCATAGGATTCCCATAAAAGAAGGGGAAAACCCAGTTAATGTCAGGTCATACAGGTACCCTCATTTATTGAAATCTGAAATTGAAAAACAGGTAGCAGAAATGCTTAAAATGGGCATAATTAGACCCAGCAATAGCCCTTACTCCTGCCCAGTTATCTTGGTCAAAAAGAAGGATGGGAGCTGGCGATTTTGTATTGATTATAGAGCTTTAAATAAGGCTACAGTACCAGATAAGTTCCCAATCCCTGTGATTGAGGAGTTAATAGATGAGTTACATGGGGCACAATTTTTCTCAAAGGTCTAACAGAAGAACTATAAATATATAAAGAAAATAAAAAATTAAATAAAGGTATTATTATTGTTGTGGTGGCGGCGTAAGATGAAGAGAGAAGAGAAGAAACCAACAGGTGAACATCATTCTACATGTTCCAATAATTGGAATTGGGCATTTCTTTGTTCGCTTGTTGCAATTTCTCATATCAAACTCCTAATGCCCCCAATTTCAGTGTACAGCCACAAAACCCTTTCTCTCTCCAACTTCTAAACAATTTTCCTAATTTAGCATTTGAATCCACAGGTATCTTCCTCTATTTCTCAATTTTCCAAGTTTTTTAATCTGAACCAATATCTATATGATGTTCTGCAAATTAGAGTCTGTTAAAATAGTGTTTAGTGATGGTAATAATGGAATGTGTGAAATGTTACTGTCTTGTTCCTCGGATATATGAATTAGGGAATAAATAAGATAGAGACAGAGCAGAAATTAATAATTCTGTTACACACATGTACCTTTGTACATTCAATCTCCATGCTCACAGTGCCAGTGAAAAAAAGAATTGACCATTTTCTTCTTTAGATTAATTTTGTGATACAACTTATTAATCTGACTTCTGAATCTTGTCGGCATCTTTCTTTGCATAACAAGCCTGTTCCGTAAAAGTCCATAACTAGCCTTGCTGCTATTTCCTTTTCTATTGTTTGCACACTATAAATACTACTACTTGATTAATATTTTGTAATTACAAATTCTAGCCTTCAAAGTTCTTAGGAAACCAGTTACATGTATATACTTTGGTGATTTGAATGTTACAGGTCGGTTGATGTTGAGCTAATATTATAGAAGCTTTTCATCAGGTCTTGGGAAACTTTGAGAGACTAATCAATTGGAAGGATGAATTGCTGGACTTGTCTACTTTAATTGTCTAAGGAAGAAAGTGTTCAAATCATAGTGGATTTTTGTTCCATCATCATTGTATCTGAACTTGTGAAAAATGGCTGTTGAAGATCATAAGAATCTAGTTGAGATCTTGGAAAACCTGAATCAAGTAGATGTTGCTAAATGCATGAATTTTGTCAGTGCTCCACAAGCTGGTGCTATAGCAACATTCGCAGGCACAACACGCGATACCTTTGATGGGAAAACAGTCTTGGAGTTGAGATATGAAGCTTATGTTCCAATGGCAATACGTTGTATCAACTCGATATGTTCATCTGCTAGAGCATCCTGGAACCTACATTCCATTGCTGTTGTACATCGTGTAGGCACAGTGCCTGTGGGTGAAACAAGTGTCTTCATCGCAGTCTCGTCTGTTCACAGGGTAGATGCATTGGAGGCTTGTAGATTTTTGATAGATGAGATAAAAGCCAAAGTTCCTATTTGGAAAAAGGAGGTCTATTCAAATGGGGAGGTTTGGAAGGAGAACTCTGAGTTCCTAGAGAGGAGGTCTGAGCTTGGTAGCAAGGATGCAGGTTGCTGTGGGAAAAAGGTAGAAATTAAAGAACAGACCAAAAAGTCTTGTTGTGGGACTAAGGTTCAGGTTGATGATCAAGGTAGTCAAGACTAATGTCAATGTTGGATATCAAGGATACAAGTAGGTAATTGTAGTATTTGTACTTTGAAGAATATCTCCCTATTAATCCCTATTCTTTTGCCCAATTTGTTGATAAGATGTAGTTTAACTTTGAAGACAAGAAGTTTGCCTATCAACTGAGATTCTCATTGTGCCTTTTTTAGTTTACAGTGAACAAAGGTGATAATGAAAACAATAAGTTAATGGTAGACAGTTCATTCCAACACTCAAATGAGTTCAATGATTGGTAGTAGTGATGAAAGCATGATCAGAGTCTATAAGAATGTTGGAGAAAATTTAAGGTTAGCTTTCTTTCTTATGGTTTCTGGTTTCTCAGGGTGAAAAAACTGATTTATTCTGTTTAAATGTAATAATTTTATTTCATAACATAATATTGTAGTATATAATTATAATAATTAAGATGATCACCACCAGAATATATTTTGATCAACTTAATGAATTAAATAAATAAATTTTTGGAATTTTTATTTATTATAATATGACAAATTATTTAACATTGTGAAATAACTTTTTAAATATAAAAATATTTTTATTAATAATGTTTGTTTTTTTGTAAATATAATATTTTGTTATAATTGTTAATCATTATTAGTATATTTTTGTGATTACGAGTTATTGAGGTGATTACAAGAAGTATATACTATGATCAAATGAATTAATTAAAAACTTTATGGAAATTTTAATTTTGTATAAAAAAATAAGTTGATGTGTTTGTAGGATTCCTTTACATTACAATTCTTCAATTTTACCGTGCAGATAGTAATAAAATAATATATATTTTAGTTAAACAATAGTTGTTTCAACAAACAAGTTTACTCAATTTTTAAGCAATTTTGAGTGCCACGTCATCTTTTTAGTTGGAAGAGTTACTTGAGCATTTTTCTAAACGCTCACTCTTAAAAATACTCTTAAGAAATTATTTGTGATGTCCAACTATAATAATAGATACTTCTTAAAAAATAATATAAATCTTAAACTTCAAATAAAATAAGTCATAAATTAATTTTAATTTTAAATTTAAATAAAACAAAAAAAATATAAACTATAAATCTAAACATTACAAAAAAAAAGGAAAAAATTTTGTTTTTAATGCAAATTTTTCATGAAGATACAATAATATTCCATTATTATAAATAAATTAATTTCTTTGAATAAAGAGTCCAATAGGACTCCAAACATAACTTTAAATAAAATTAGTCTCTTTCAAACAATTTTGTTAAAAAAACGTGAATATTTAAATATTTAGGATGAATTGAGTTTTCAAATCTAATCAATTACTTAAATATTTTTAAAAAGAACTAAAAATGTGTTAATGTCCCAAGAATATCAAAATAAAGAAAACACAAGATCTAAAAATAAATCATAAATATTTAAACATGTTATTCACACAATTTTCAAGTTAATTTGATATTATTCACCTAATATACAACAATGTACAATAAAGATTCAGAATAAAGAAAGACAAGAACGATTTTACTTGAGACTTTTGGAATACTAAATCCTATAATCAAATAATTTCTTCTTTATATTTGATTTTCTTCAAAACGTTTTATGGACTAAACAAATGTTTTCTTCACAAAGACATTCTTTTTAATGCTTTAATCATTTTTGAAGGATGTGTTTAATTGAAGAAAGTTTACATCTTTTTATAGAGTTGAAATATGTTGCATCTGATTCAGGTAATTGTTTAACATAATATTTTAATCGATTATTTGCGTGCAGTGACAAAATAAAAATAAGTCATATAATCTATTAGGTACCAACATAATTTGCGCGTAATGTCAAAACAAAGATAAAAATAAAGATGTAATTACATAATCGATTAAGTGACAATATAATCGATTATTAGCACATAGTATAAAAACATAAATTTAAGTCATATAATCGATTAAATAGTTATATAATTGATTAACATAGATTTAATTGATTTTGTTTTAACATAATTGATTAATTTTAACTTTTTACCTTTTTATTTTACACAAAAATTAAATGATTTGACTTTAACAAAAAATTACTCACACAATTACGTATTTATCTTTTTAGGATATCATAAAAAATGATTTTTCAACCATTCTTCTTTCTTCGTTAACAATCTTTCCCCTTTTTTGATGATGACCAACCAACATAGCATTTTTCAACAGCCCTGCAATGCACTCTTTGGTATCAACATTTTTTAGTAGCCCTACAATGCACTCTTCTCCCCCTTTGGACTTAATAAAAAATGGTTAAACATAGAGTGAAAGAGTAATAGTATAACCAAATTTAATGCATATATGATATCAGATAATAAAGGATTTAAAAAGTTATATTAGGTATCAGATTTACAAACCAACAAATTAATATGTCAAATATTACAATCTAGTAAAGAAATTATTTAAGCATATTAAACATATGATTAAAGAAAGCAAATTAATCATTCATCATCACTTGAAGATAGTTCAATTGTTCCAACATCTTCATCATCACTTTCTTCATCTTCCATTTCAGTGTCACCTTGTTCTTGTTATAGTGTGGACAAAATAAAGGATATTTTGTCATCCAAATTGTCAAATTTAGAGCAGTAATACTCATGATTCTCCTTTTGTCAGAGATGTATGTTATCTAATTTATCTACCATACTCTATTCAAAAGCAGTAAAATTACTTCTAGCAGAGGAGGTAGAAATGTTTGCATTTATGAGTTTTACTCCTTCATCAACAAATTCTTCCTTATATTTGAAGAACCAACCATCATCTCTCTTTACCATTCCCTTGTGGTGAAGAGTAGATTTTCCTATTGCATTTTCATGACTCATGATGGTAAACGATTCTCCCTCCACATTTACACCAACATAGTAAAAAACTCTTGACATAAAAACAAAATAAGGAATATAAAAGCATCCTATATGATTTTCTCATATTATCACTAACAATAATAGACCAATCAATTTGAAACCTTGATTTAAGAGCATGTATTATATACATGTCTTTAGAGGTCAGTTGAGCATGATTGCTCCCCTTGACAACAAGAACCTAGGTAATTACAAAAAGATAACAATCTTTCATCCTTTTTCATTCCACCAATCTTGTAGATAGAATAATTTTTGGCAGTGTTTAGGTTCCTAAGACAAGATCTAAAAACAACTAGCTTATTAAAGTTTTTAAAGCCATCAGTAATGTTTTCTCCTCCTATTTTAAAACCTGCAACATTTTTCCATATTTCCTCATCTAGTACTATTTCTACCCCTTTAACTCTAGATTGAATAACTTCATTAACAGTCTTCATATTGCAATAAAATACGTTAACTAAGTCAGGGTAAAACATCTCATTCGTCTCAATAAATTTTTCTAAGCCTTGATAAACTAATAAGTCTTGAGACAAAAAACCATTGCTTCTAAAAAATGAGATAGAAAGGTACTTGTGAGTGATGAGTCTTCTCTCTTTCCAGTGAATAAGAAACTCCTTTCTTTGTTCATCATCACTTATCCATCCTTCTAGAGAAGTAGTTCTTGGAGGTCTCTTTGAAGCTATTCTCCTCATTATTTTTTATTTTGCAGTGGAAGCCATGAAATCAGAGTAACAAGAAGAAGATTGTGGAGAAAATGGTAACAAGAAGATTTTTGTGAGATATGGGGGCTAGGGTTTCGAAAGAGAAGCTTAAGTGAATATGAGAGAGTGTGTAGATAAAGTTGGTAAAGTGTAGTGTGTAGAGAATTTAATTGAAATAATTATGTATGTATGATAATCGATAATATAAGTGGATAATCAATTAACAGTGCAAGCACCAGATCCTGAAGAAGGTCACTTTAATCAATTATATAAGTTGATAATCGATTATGAGCGCACCTTGTAAATTTCTGAAATTCTCAATTTAATTGATTATTTTACATCCCTAGAGGTGATATAATAGATTATGTCAAATATTAATCAATTGTTTCTATCATATTTTATGTAGACCAGATTTTAATTAGAGTAATTTATGTGTAGTATGCCTAATTCACTTCTAATAGTATAAAATCTTTCCCTAGGTAATGATTTAGTAAAAATATATGCTAATTGTTAATTTGTGTTAATATATTCAATTTTACAATTCCCTTTGATTACATGATATATAATAAAGTGATGTCTAATTTTTATATATTTTATTTGGGAATGCATAATTGGATTCTTAGTAAGATTTATGGAATTAGTGTTATCATATTTCAAAGGAATATATTGTAAATGTATACCATAGTCTTCTAATGGATTCTTAATCTAAATTAATTGAGCACAACAACTACATGTAGTTATGTATTCAACTTCAGTGGTGGACAATGCCACATATGATTGCTTCTTAGAATGTCATGATACTAAAGAATATTTTAGTAAATGACAGATTCTACTAGTACTTTTCCTATGTATTTTGCATCTTCCAAAATCTGAATCACTATAATCTGTTAAAACAGTTCAACTCCTCTAGGATACCAAAACCAAGATTTATGGTACTTTTTAAGTATTTCAAAATCCTTTTTACAACACTTAAGTGAGATTCCCTAGGAGCAGATTGAAATCGTGCACAAACAAACACACTATGCATGATGTCAGGGCGACTAGATGTTAAGTATAGAAGTAATCCAATCATACCTCTATACATAGTTTGATTAACCAACTTACCAGTTACATCATTATCTAGATAACAGTTTGTGGTCATTGGGGTTATGGATTCCTTACTATTATCCATTGAGTATTTCTTCCACAATTCAACATAGTACTTGGATTGATGTATAAAGATTCCATTTTTTGCTTGTTTGACTTACAAACCAAGAAAGAATTAAGTTCACTCATCATTGGCATTTCAAATTCATGTTGCATGTTAATTGAAAATTCTTTGCACAAAACAAAATTAGTAGATCCAAATACAATGTCATCTACATACATTTGTACATATAGCAAATTCTTACCAACTTTTTTAATGAATAAGATTGAGTCTACCTTACCTCTATTGAAGTTACTTT